AACATTGATTAAAGCCAATCTTAAAATGATTAAACAAACGCCTGTTTGAGACTCCTCAGTGCACACAAACACATAACTTGGAGAAATAAATAAATACGGATATGTTATTTAAAACCACCTCGAATATGTTGTCTTAATGTTGTGAAATGTATTCTCATAAATGATGCGGTAAGCAGGAGGACAGCATTACGTCTAAACTGACGCCGTTTTGCATTTCTATAGGTTGTAGATACGAGCATGGTTTTATATACTATCATGTGTTATGCCGTTTGCTAAGACTTGATAAGTCGCTCATAACACACAGGAGGTATGGAAACTAAGAACACCATTTGGTAGATTTGGCAGCTGATATAACTCAACACATTTGTTTTATTTCATTTAAGTGGTGGATAGAGTTGCTGCGGGGGGGGGGGGGGGGGGGGGGGGGGGGGGGGGGTGGGGGGGGGTTGAGACGCACAGGCTGCAGTGGAGATGCTGCGCACAGCTGATTGACAGCTGGAACACAAACCACGAAATTAAAATGAATTGACTCCACTCCGCAGGGATCCCCCAATACTTTCTTACAGTTTCTCATCATGGGAGGTCTCCTGTCCCCGGTACAAACACACTGCCTGAGGAAGGCTATGTGTATTTTGTCATTAACTTTTTTCGGACCACTTATTTATTTATTTTGGTGACGATCCGACCTCCATGCTGCTACTCTGGTTCAAACTGCATCCACCAAACAATGTGATTAGTCTCCACCTCCCCAAAATAACCAAAATCTGACACGGGCTGCTTCTCAGGTCGACTATTTTCATTTCCTCGCTCCTCGGTCCTCGGTCCTCGGTCTCACCGGAAGTTGATTTGCCTGCGCCATCTTGAGTACCGCCCCATGGCTCTTATTTCTGCCGGAGGACCGAGGATCGAGGAGCGATAATGGAGGAGCGATAATCGAGGAACCACCAGACCATCCTCCGATGAAATCCTCAGATACTCGCCCCGCCCCCTTACTGTGTATCGCTCACTGATTGGACGATGCAGATGCTTCTTGACATGAGAGCAGAGTGAAGAAAATACATGAACCTCACGGGAGTCACTCCTCAGTTTATACTGTGTTTTGTTTCAATTCATGTTTCATTTAGTTACAAATATGTGATATATCTGAACAACAAAGTGGTCAAAAATCATTTTATTCATTTGTTGGAAACATTTTCATGATCGCTTTTTTCGTTTTACATTTTCATTTATTGTCATTTCCATTCAGTCAGTCATTAAGTGCTATTAAAATGTTAATGTGCTACATATCCAAACAAACAAACAAACAAACAAAGTGTGCAATCCAATGAATGTTAATCTAACTGGGTTTTGATAGATAACATATCTCTTTTTCTTCTCTCAATTATTTTATTTCTATTGTGCACTCTAATCAATATTAATCTAACTATTGTTCGTTTATACATTTTAAGAATGGCGTTTATCTTTTTTGAGAATGAGTTCTTATTTTATTTTATTTATTGGGATCTACAACAGATGATACAAATGTTTGTGTCAGTAAATGTGTACTAACAGAGGCGGGGGTGTGTGTGGAAACAACGGAGACAGAGCTGCTGTCAGACGATCAGCTGTGCAGCGTCATCACAAACGGACGTCGCTTCACGTGACGCTCCGGAGGAAAGGACGTCCCATTGCTCTTAAAACTCATTTCCCTGCTTCTCGTGGTTTCCTTGCATCTCTCCATGCTTCCCTGGTGGGAGGGACTAAACGCAGGGAAACAACGCAAGTGAGGGACGCAAGGATTTAATTTAATCGACCTGAGAAGCAGCCCCGGTGTGAGATGTCTTTTTTAGCTGTTCTGTCGTCATTTCCTGCGATTTTCATGCAGTCAGTCTGAATGAATATAATACGGGCCGTTTCTTTTACTATTTACAGTATAGGCTAATATGGGCGTTACGTGAAGCCCGCAAAAGCTACACCGCATTTCGAGTCGGTTGTGATTTATAAATGGGAATATTTGTGTGCATATGTATTTGCTTTGTCCTACGTAAGCCACCTTCCCACGTGAATCCCACGCAAAGCTTTATAAATGAGGCCCCTGGACACAGAAAAACATTGCTGTCCAAGAAGGAAATGTGTGAGGGGGAGGGAGAGCAGAGAGGCACGTCCTCCTCTACTGAAGTTCTCCTTACTTAGAAACATTTAAAGAAATGGCAAAACTACGAAATGAAAATAACAAACTTTCAGATGTTAAACCCTGAAGAGAAACTGGTTTTGCTTCGTGCCGCAGCCTGATGGACTCACAACTAGAATCCCCACATTAAGGATTTCTATAGTAGCGTACTTAGAAACTGTCAAATGTAATAAGGTGTGAGAATAATCTTCTGCAAACTGCTTGTGCAATATGATGGCTTTATTCATGCTAGTAAAGCCAATTCAATTGTTTTTCTTTATTAATGATGATTCCTCAAATTCCAAAAAGCAGAGGTTGATCCAGTCGACTTCTTTTTTCTCTAAGTCAATGAAAAAAACTCATTAAGAAAACCTTCTCAATTAGTTGTTGGTTTGTAGCCTAAAATAAGGTATGTTGTTAAGATGTGCTTCTGAGATTATTACAATTTATTTACTAAATTAACAAAAAAGATTAAAAACCTGGGGGCAGAAAAAGAAAGGAAACTGACTTGTAAGCCACACAGAGCTACACCACACGCTGATGACAGGTAAGAGAAGAGCTGCTGCAGCTTTCCTCAGCCTTTCATGAAGGCCCTGATTAGAGAACATCTGAGGGAGAGGCTGCACCTGGAGAGAGACAATCAGCAGAGAGAGTGAGGGGGAGGAGAGAGACACAAGCAAACACACACACACTACGGCACATAACATTCATCATAAAATACATTAGTATATCCAACTCAAAATTAGAATTTTAGTTTCTTTAAAATGCTGGGTTGCTAACAAGTGGCTACATTGTACCACTTAACATCATCAAGACAAACAATCGTCCTCCTTGACCTTAGTGGGTGACATTCTACTTCATACAACATTCTCTACAATATTAAGCTTATTGTATTAATTATTTCTGACATGTAGTTAACTTCATCTGCATAACTTTCACATTGGTTTTGAAACATAATAAGCACTTTTTTATTCTAGTCTATTTCTTCTTGCACAATTTAGACCAGATGGTCTACCTGTCTAATTGTTGCATGTAAACGTGGTGTGCACAGATATTGTTACTGAGGCCCCATTTACACGGGAACGCAAACAAACCAAATTCAATATCAAAAAAGTATTCCGTTCACACGGATACGGCTCAATAAACGTTTCCCTTCACACGAGACTGCTCGACTCGCTGGAGAGGCTATAGTACATATGCCGGGCCTGTAAGTGGCGCCTTACCTCCGCCACAAAAAGCAGCGAAGAAGACCCCGAGCATGGTTGCCATGGTTGCCCTTCTGTTTATTCTCCGTGGTGGATTTAGCAACATGTAGTTCATGTAGTTCTCCATGTCCACTTGTTGCTGATGGTTGTGGTAGAGGAGCTGTAGATTTTTCACTAACATCTGTGGCATGGTCAGTAGCTACCAGAGGTGGGGACTCGAGTCACATGACTTGACTCGAGTCGCATATTTTTAGACTTGAGACTTGCTTGACTAACATTGATAAAAGACTTGACTTGACTTTGACTTGGTATTCATGACTTGAGACTTGACTCAAAGAGCCTGTGAGAGCCTCCCAACAACTGTTGTGCAATGAAATATTGGGCTACTAGTAATCTCGAACCGTCAGCTTAAAAAAGAAGGTGCGATACCGTTCCGATAAATATCAATAATTTCGAACATCGCGGGGAAATTCCTTCGACTCATTTTGAAGTTTTGGGGGAAGCCGGAAGTGACCAATGCGGGAACGCTTCACTGTGCGGCAAGAGAGCCAAACACGGACAAAGTGTGTTGTCATGCGTAGAAATGGTGAATTACTGAGTTTAGGCACGTTAATAACGTTTTAATGAAGTTGACTACAGTATATTCATATTTGTCAGTGCTTTCATGTCAATTCGGCGAACATAAACATTAATGATCGTGGTGAAGATGATGATTAAATTAGGATTACAAATCGGTAGTGAGAGCTGCTGCATTTCCTCCCGTCGGATGTGATATAAAAACAAATAGATTATTTTTGTAGTTGTAAACTCAAGTGGATGAAACTACATTTATTAGTGCTTTCATGTCAATTCGGCGAACTTATGATACATTAAATGATCGTGAGGATGATGATTACAAATCGTTTGTTTGAGCCTGTCTGCATTTCCTGATGAAAAAACAAAATGCTTTTTGTAGTTGTAGATAGATAGTACATGGATTAAACGTGTGGTTTTTTACCACAATGTTGGGGAAATTAATGGATAAAATGCACGGATTATGATTATTATTATGATTATTATTCCCACTCCGATCGGGACACTAGGTCCACCGTTTCCCCGCAGCGAGGCTCCCCTCGTTGACAGTTTACGTTGATAATTTACTGGCGGTACCGAAGTGGGCCGGTCGAGAGTCCCGGGCTGATTTTTAGTCCCAGTCCACCACATGACCGTATTATCGCCCATTGACGCACCTAATTCCTAAACTTCTAACAGATAAAACATAAAGCGATCCTTCAGCCTCATATGAGCTCTCAGACACGTTCAAAATTAAACTGTCATCGCTGTCTGAGCTTGCTGCTGTGTGTGCCATCGTGTGTTTACATGCAGATGCTGGGATCCGGAACGGTGCAGCTGGTGCTCTTGGCCCGCAATTACGTCACACATAATTTGGCGGGATTTGAAGAATCCCCAAGAAGATCCAGAATATGGTCAACATTGAAGGGCAGATTAATGGTTATCAAAGTACAAATATCCCAAATCAGTTCAGTAACGGACTGTTTAAAATTAAATATTTGCGTTTGTTTTTGTACTGAGATCAGGGTTGGAATTTCGTCATTTTTAGGGCATAAAGGCCACAAGACAGGGCACAAAGTCCATTGAGGGAAAAATTAGGATTTGGAGCTTGGAGACTTTTTTAATGTCAAACAAATCATCATATAGTCCTATGCCTCCTTTTAGAGTATTACTGTGTATACAAAATAAAATACTCTACTTTGAATAATTAGTGTTTGGTATGTTTTCTATCTACTACTTCTCCCATTCAGAAATCCAAAATCAAATCAACATTTGTATTAATATGTAACACATATATTCAATTTCAGAGCAGAAGAAACAGCCTTCAAGGGTTAAACTCTGCATATAAATCATTCAGCAGTGCACAGTGAAGCTCAAACATTCAACTGTAAGAACAAGCAATACTTTGGAATGCAAAAGTGTGTATGTGTATGTGTGTACATGTACGAGAGAGTCTCTTTAATCTGACTCATCATCATTTGAGGATGGACATAGGGAGGTAGGTGGAGTAGGGCTAGCTGCCTGTGGGTCAGGGTTGAAGTTCAGTCTTGGCCCATATGGTTGAATGTTTGGTCTCTTTCTCAAGAGGCCAGCTGCCCACCATCTTGCCACCGCCTCCTCGCTCTCATATGCAACAGGGTCACAGCCCTCGGATTTGAAAAAGGAGATCCTCGATGGTCGAGGTGTTCAGCCTAAAGCGCCAGTCTCCTTGCATACGCTTCATTGTGGAAAACTGGCGCTCCACTTGAGATGTGAAAACAGGGAATACCAGGACGATCCTGACGACATGGAGTAAGTTAGGGTACTTGCTCTCCTTTTCAGTCAGCATCCTCTGCCAAAGCACAAGGAAAGCCTCCCTCTTGTGGTGCTGCACAATATCATATTTGGCTTTTAACCATTCCCTCTCCACCATGCTCACAGAGCTTACGCAGCTCACTGTCTCCGTACTCTTGTTCCCTGAGAGTGACTTGGCTTCATGACATGCTCTTCAAGAGCCTCTCCAATGGCCTTGAGCTCCTTCCATTTCTTGCCCGAACGACGGTACAGGGAGTAGAGGCGCATGAGCTTACTCGTCAATCTGAGGGGGAAAAATACAACATAAGTGAATTATTCCATACTGTGACGGTGTAAATAATAGTATACAAGTACATGTAGCAAAACCTTACACAATTTTTTCTAAATGTATTGTTAATTAAACATACCTGTGTGAAGTATGAATCTTTAAAAGCACCCTTCAGGCACAGCTCAAGCCTGTGGGCGACGCAGTGCACCTTGATCATCCACGAAGCGGTTTCCTGCTGGAGACTGTTGGAGCAAAGAGTGGTCTGAAACCCACCTCGGCTCCGCGTGTGTCCTTTGATGAGCTAGTCAGATTTATAAAAGAAGGAATTCAAAGCACCAGATAAAGGGTTAAACAATAATCTGCTTTAATGGTAAACAACAACAATACACTTTTAAAGCGACGCCCCTGCTCTGGTCCTAGTGCTGGGAGACCTTACTATCTTGACGGCAGGAGGAACAGAGACCGGACACAAGGACACAACAGGGCTTCATGTAGTTAGAAACAACAGGAGGAGTTGTGTGGATGCTCCTCCCATACAGGTCATCTATTGGGCGATATAAAAACGACAGCCTGTCGCAGCGAATCAGCGCTAGCCAGCCGAGATGACCCGGAAACAAGAGTCTCTTACGTTTGTGGCAAAACAAACAAATCTGGTGTTCGCTGTCTCACATTCTTGCAGTTTGGACACACACACACATTCCATATACTTCCTTCTCTGCTCCCCCTCCCCCATCAGTTTAACCCACACAGTCTCACATACTCTGGGCCTCTTTTAGATATATCTAAAATATAGTTGTCCAATACAAGCAATACATGTAAATGACCTTAATATCAATAATAACGAGGAAAACATTACCTCTGCTCTCAAGCAGTGAAATAGTAGAACTCTACATAAACATATATAGAGAACGCACTCTCATTTCCCTTAGCATGTGTAACACACACTCATTTTATCCTGCAGCATTCCAGAGATCAGAGCTGTCTAAATAAAGATATCCCCTCGCTCACATCTTACTTCCAAAGGTTTCACTTCTCATATTTCCAGCTTCTTGTTACACAGACTGCCATTATTGATACAAAGTAATTAAACACACACATATATATAAGACATGTAGACTTCCCTGATACTTGACATGCCGTGTTTAAATAAGAATGTCTCCTCATGCAAAACTGCTCCTACTTCATACAGAGTAATTGAGCATGTTTAAGCCAACCACTCCACAATGTTGTAGCAATTTAGTACTTGGAATGTATACATATATTGATCATTCAGGCCGACTATTGTCTCCAGGCCTCTTTATGAGCCTTGCAGGAAATGAATCATTAACTAACAAGACTTTAACTGGATTATATCTGAGGAAGATCTCTCTTGGAGTTCCCCTGTTAATTGCAAAGACCATTGATGATTAACAAAGAGACTCAGGGGCCTCTCCTGATATCTGGAAACTGCAACAAGACTTTCTGAAAAATACTTAACGGGTAATCTTTTCACTCAAGGCAGAAATCACAGGTTATACTATACCTTACCTACTCACAAATAGCCAAATAAAACAACTTTTGATTATACATAAAAGTGGAAGAAAAGACTATTGCGCTAATCTACTTTTACTAAAAAGGGGACATTGTTTCAGGAATATATAAAAAACCTCTCTATAATTAAGAGGAACAAATGTACTTTGTCCATTGAAATTTAACACACTTCTTATATATCAGGTGACATAAAATGAATATACCAGAAATACGCTGTATTAAGCTTTCTGCTGTAACACTTTACTTCAATTCCCCCTTTTGATCTAATTTCAAGGCATTTGAAACATAACTACTGTCATTCTTTTCCACTGTGTCCGTCCCCCAACATTATATAAATCCATCAGAAGCTGGGATTTAGAGCCCTTTAAACATTTGGGAACAGCCCATCATAACAACTTCTTATGACAGTGGAGAGAGACCAAAATATGTTAAAAAACTGCATCCTTGTCTACTGAGCCATCATACTCGTCCTCTCCCTCCGCATAGGCCAACAAGGGCATTTGGTACTGAGGGGGAGGAGCAGCTTTTCCTTCAATGGTGGAACTGATGAATCTGATCAGAGAGAAGTAGACTCCTCTGCTTCCTCGTGATGTCCCCCAGCCTGCTGATTGCAGCTTCTGGGCCATCTGCTGGATGATGTCCTCAGGATCCTGCTCCTCCGGTCCACTGATGGCTGCTTCCGAGTTGTCTGCTGAAGGGATGTCCTCGGTGTCCTCCTCCTGTCCTCTGATGGCGGCTTCCGAGTCGACTTCCTCTGTGAGGGCCACGTCCGTCCCGATGTCGTCTAGGGTCCTAGCAGGAGGTTTCCCCGCCGCACACTGGCTCCAGTGGTACCAGTTGTCCCCCTTTCCTTCTAGGCGGACGGCATGGGAGGTTCTCTGAGTCACTCTGTAGGGGCCGGAGAACCTGGGGTTGAGCCACTTAGGCATGATGACCTTCAGCCAGACGAACTCCGCTGTGTTGGCCTTGTGCCTCTCGGGTCCCCCTTTGGCGTCAGCAACCTGTGTGGAAAAGCATGATACCCACCCCTCAAATTGCTGGAAATAAGGTTTCGAACTCATGAGCTCTACTTCCTTTCCTACGCTCAGGGCTCCTGGGCCCGGGAACTGATGGCCATGGATCAGCTCAAATGGGGAGAAACCTGTCCCTCGGTTAATCAAGCTCCTGATTGACATAAGGGCCAGAGGCAAGGCGTCTAACCATTTCATGCCTGTCTCCTCACATGCTTTGCTGAGTTTCTGTTTGATGTTCTGGTTCATCCTTTCTAATTGATTATAAGAAAATGTACATCCATTATTTTCCACGGTAAACACTCCAGTAAAATGAAGTGTTTCTCTCCATCTTTCAGTCCTAAAAGAAACAGAATCTTCAGATTTTAGTTTGAGCTTCACATTTTGCAAACCGCCACCTCCTGTGGGAGTGAAATATCATCAAGTAGATTAGAAACGGGTCACAAGTGCGGTTTTCCAATTTTGTGGAATTTTAGGAAACCTCTCATTTCCCACAGAGCCCCAGAATAATGTGTTAGTCCAAAAACATGCTTGATTAGTCATCGTTTTAAATCATGCAGTTACACTGATCACATGCAGACATACACTCACATTGACACTCACACTGTCAGGTTGTAAAGTCAAGTTTGGTCAGGTTCACCCCAGAGTCAGTCATTGACAGTGCCTTTCTCAAGTCACACTGTCGGTCAGGGTCAAAGTTCATTTGGTCTCAGTCTTTTTGGGCACGTGTCGTGCTCTGCAGAGACTTTGATATTTCAGCTTAGGCCAGTATCCTTTGTCTACAAAAAATCTGTCATATATGGAGCGCCATCATTTATTAATTCACGATTACAACTATAATTTTCAGATATCTCTAACTTTTCATTGGGACAGCTGTTTCCCACATTCCCTGAAATGTGTTAGCCAAAAATGTCACTTCCTTATAGTACTACTACTGCAGTTTATTAACACCTAATCTATATTAAAATGTCCAATAGATCTATTTCAGAAACTTGTGCATATAATTATTTTCTTGAGTCAAAACATCATTGGGATCTGTAAAGCTCTGCCATGTATTTCATAACTCATATTCATTTATCTTAAATTCTGGTCCACTTAACCCTTAAAGACCTAGACGGAATTTTCGCCTGCCTGACTCTCCTGTATTTATTTGTTTCTCCTAACCTGTTCTAACCTTTTCTTGCAGTCAGCATCAAGTGCCTTACCTCATTTGATTCAGGAGAACCTCTAGTTCAAGTCTGGCTAATTTGAAGTCCAAATTTTACCATAACTTTGTGTGATAATGGCTGAATTTACCAGCACTTTTCAAAAACGCCAGTACAAATGTTGTGTTTTTTTACTGTTTACTCCGCCAGGAACATAGGGATTTTCTTTTTTATTATTTACAAAGCTGCATTTAGATGTTTTAGGCTTTCAAATTAAATTTCATCTGCATATTATGTTCCCTGAGCAAGTTACAGCTATTTATTACAATATGGAATAATTAAAACGAAATGTATTTCCATATTTAAATGACTGATCATGTTTCTTCTGTCAAAAAAAGGTTGAGAGAGTAAACAATTAAACCATAACAGATGACATTGCAACAAAAATAACTTGTTTCAGAGATATATATTATAATTTGAACATTGAAATACAAACACAAACAGTGAAACAAATTCAAAGTGCAAATTAACAAAGTGCAAATTATATTAAAACTATAAACAAAGTATTAGGAATATATAGAAAGTGCAAAAGTACAAAGAGCAAATGATCTTCAAACTATAACCAAAATATTAGAAAAATATATGAAGAGCAAAGGAAATGTATCAAGATTCATCATGGTCTGGGTCGCTCAGATGTACAGCTCTGCTGATTGCCATGAACCTGTCTCTTGTCATGATAGAAGCAGGAAAGAGAACACTCAGGTGTGATCCCTTCCTCCAGTAGTCTCTTACTTTGAGCAGTTTTAGAAGTGCCATGAACATCATAAGGCCGACATACATGAGGAATTTTACCGGCTTTCCCAAACAAACTTTTCCCCCTTAGCCTGCTCCTTTTCAGCATTTTTGTTTGTGTTCTTGCAGATGATATTTACAGCTTGGTTGTTAAAACAATTTCTAAATATTTGTGCAGGAGTATACTCCACACCAACAAAACCTTGGACTCCACGGGCTCTTTTCGGGCAAAAGTGTGGTAGTTGTTGGGCAGTATCTGGCACCTCAGGTCCGTTCCAAACAGCTCCTGGCTCTTCTGGGGTCAGAGATGTTTTTTTCCCTTTCCCTCTTCCTCTCCCTTTCACTGTCAGGGGGGCTGGCATTGGTTTGGCCTTTTTTCTGGATGCTGCACCCTCCTGGCCACATTCTTTTCCCTCTCGGTTTGAAGGAGGCCTACTGATGGGGACAGGGGCTTGTGCATCCCCTCTCTCATCCTCTGTACTAAAATAAAAGGGAGGAAAATATACAGATGTCTGAATTTATTTTATTTCCTTTATTGCTTTTATTTCTCCAGTGTCATCCTATCTGTTTTCTAAACACAGTCTCAACTTTTGATTTGATTCACACTTTATCCCTCTGCTAACATTACTAGTTGATGGAATCAGTAACTGAATTGTAATGCAATGAATATAATAACATTAGACCTCATAACAAACAACCAAAGAGGGCAAGCGGAATGAGGCAATAAATGAAAGGTATTGCTTGACGTTTTTTTACTGAAATAAATAGTAGCCTCTATTGATAGTGAATCTTGAGCTCAGGACTTCACTTTATGACACAATTACGGCAAATGGCCATCCATTATAAAAACTCTTAGGACTAATTATTTTCGGCGTTATACAGCAACAACAACCGATAAATGCAACACAAACAATAAGAAATAAGCAAAGTTACTCACTTTTTTATCTTCGAAGGGATCAATCCCGTGATCATACTCCTCTTCCTTGCTAGTTGTCAGCTTCAGAATCTGAGGAATCCATCGCTGCATCGCTAAGCGGTCCGCCAGACAAAATAAATTCTACGGTTTCTTCCGTAGTGTAACGCCGTTTTGACATGTTGGTTTGAATTTGTCTTGGGATATGTGTGTGTGTGTGTGTGTGTGTGTGTGTGTGTGTGTGTGTGTGTGTGTGTGTGTGTGTGTGTGTGTGTGTGTGTGTGTGTGTGTGTGTGTGTGTGTGTGTGTGACTGTATCTAGATATCTCGTGTTGTATGTATTTCTCTTACGCTGGCAGAATTACTCTTCTTTAGTATTACTCTCTCGTCTCTCTGTTTCTCTTTGTTTATCTCCCGCCGCCAAAAACATACACAGCAACCTATGTTGATTGGTCGAGAAGATGGTAGCATGGGCAGAGGTCTGCCTGGACCTTTACATTTTAAACCTATCCGGACACAGGGGGGTGGGACTTAGTCTAAAACCTTGGCTGTTTGGCTCAGACAGAGGGGCCGCGTGGGTCTCCTTGACGAATCAAGGCTGTAAAATGTGATAACTTTGCCCCGATCACGTCGGAGCCTCTAAATCCCGGAAAAGGACATAGTGATACCAGCAAAAAGCCTAGAATAGCCGCTTTACCTCACTTTTTAAATCAGATGGATAGAATTAGCGGTTAAAAAGTTATTAAGCATTTTAGAACGCTACCTCTTTGAAGCCGCGGGCGGCTCGCTCGGCCTTTAAGGGTTAAAGAACAATGTTAACCTCCCTAACAGTGCGTGGAACCTTGGATGTCCGAATATGTAACAATCACTCCTTCCTTTATTAACCTCTTAAGCCCTGAGCCTGTTTTTAAGGTTTCAGGCTCGAAAATGCTATGCCCAAAACAAATGACTATAACTTAACTTCTAAAAGGGTTATATGAATAATGTATTTTATCAAAGCAAGGTTACATCTGTGAGTTGGATGTAGAAGTGTCAGAATCAATATAGATATTTCTCAGTCAGAGTAAATTCAGATGGAACATAGTAAAAAAAGGTAAATTCTTACCCCCGCCTAAAAAAAATACATTACTTATAGTGAAAACCACCCTTGAATGATGGGATAGTAGACTAAAAGCTTTAGGAATCCAAAGTATAACATATAATAAGTACCCTGTATCAAGATTGAGGCAAAACAAGTTAAATTTGTCCTTTTTAGAGAGGTTTAGCTAAAAGTAGTCCAGGCGGACTGACCTTTGGGCACATTTTGGCACATTTGGATACCATCAGTGCCATTTGACCTTTTTCAGGTACCATACTGTAAAAAATAATTGTATTATCACTACAGTTAATCATTCCATCCAAATACAAGTGTTTTTAAAAATAAATAAAATTATTTTAAAATTACATTTGTTTTGTGTGTAAATGGTGTGTGTGTGTGTCTGTGTGGACTTTGCCACAGCCCTTACATGTTTATCACCCGACTAACACTTCTAGGAAGGTTTACTTACACAATAACAATTAGGAAACATAGGTCTTGGGCAACCTTGTCTTGGGCAGATTTATTTCAAAAATAACACAAAAAAACGACACTAAAACCGAAACAAGCATTTTTTTTGTAAATACTGGCAAAAAAGAAAAAATGTACACAACCTGAATGTGTTTAGTGTTTTTGAATTGAGGCATCAGGCACTTAGTGCAGTAGATAGGTCTTCACCGTTGTGTTGCCAGCATCAGAGCACCTCCTGAGCGCGGTGCCATCTTCCCCATAATACTTGGGAATGCATACGAGTGGTGGTGGTGGTGCTGCTGCAGGGACTTCACCCCTCATGTCTGCAGCAAGCTGCTCCCTGAAGGACTTCTGGGTGTGTGGCTTCGTCCTGCCGGGGTCACCCCTCATCTTGTGCAGCTCCTTGTGGAGAAGGAAGCTGTTCACCACTGCAATGTCCAGAAAATGGTAAAAAAAAGGTCTTGTACCATTTCATGGTTTTGTGGTGAACGCTGTAGTACCCAATCAAAGCATCGGACACATCCACGCAGCCCATGCTTCTGTTGTAGTCCATCACAGCGTCAGGAACGGTAACAACCTTAGTCTGCCACACACCAGCCTGTTTCACTTTCCTCCTGACAGTCTGTCCACTGAATCAGAAGATGCAGAGGGAGGCTGAGTTAGTACTGGTGCAGACGTCCAGCGGCGTAGCTTGGATGTTGATGGCTCTGGGGCAACTGTATGCTGATCTGATGCACGTCGTAGCTCGGATGAGGCAGATGTTGATGGCTGTGATCCAGAAGCCATTTGATACTTGTCTTCATCACTGTGAAAACAAATGTGGAAAAAACAATTACTTTGATTACTTCACTGGATTATTCTTTCAAAAATGTAACTCAAATCAGAAATAATTCCTCCATTTAGCGTGTGTGAAATAACAGTATATACATATATATATATATATACTATAGCGTGTGTGAAATAACCGTATACATATGTATACTGTTATTTCACACACGCTATAGTATATATATAGATATATATATATATAGATATAGACTGATATACAATACAGCTTTATTTATAATCTGCTAATAGTCAATGTCTGTAGAACTACAAAACAGCATCCATTTGGCGTGTGTGGAATAACAGTATATATATATATATATATATACATATATATATACTGGGTTGATATACAATACAGCTTTATTTATATACTGCCGTGTTATAGTCACGAAATACAATTAATCTATTTATACGTTCACCAACATGATGTTGCCATTGTTTTAGTTTCTCACGGAACGATAACGCTACAACAACAAAGCGGCGTCCATTTTGTATTTTGCGAGTGTGGAATAACTATAGATTACACTAAATACACAACTAATAGATACAAACAGAGAGAGTACATACCTTTCCTGAAGTTCATAATCAGGGTTTCCTGCTGTTGTCTCTGTTCGCTGTGTTCTCTGTTCGCTGTGTTCGTTGCTGCTGTGCTGGAGCGGTTGTGCGGGCTGATTCTGCACTCATTCAAGGGTACTATGACTATGCTTGCACGTCATGGTACCATAGCACCTCCAAGGCGCTAAAAATAAAACTTCAAACATCGCAAAATAAACTGGTCAGACTACTGCTTGACCTTTCATCTAGAACCCACCTCACCTCTGCCCACTTTGACAACCTAGGATGGCTTAGAGTAGACGACAGAGTACAGCTACTTGCAATGGGCCTGGTCTACAAGATCCACTACACCTCTATGGTACCCATGTACATGTCAAAATTCTTCCCAAAGGTCAAGGAATACCATGATCATAACACCAGAGGGAGCTCCACAAATCATGTGAAACCCAGATTTGGCACAAAAAAGGGGGAATACACGTTTCGCAATTATGCCACATCAAGGTGGAACGCTCTTCCCACAACTGTAAAGGAAAGTAAAACTATACTTACCTTCAAAATCTCTCTTAAAGAGCACCTTCGGGGGAGAGCATTGCAAAACTGGCCCCGGTAATGGTACAAATCTCAACCTGTCGTTCAATGGACAGCTTCCCCCCCCCCCCATCTATGTATATACTCGCATTTTAGACTCTGTTACTAACTGTATATCTGTAGACTTGGTATGTCTTAAATGTCCGGTTAGGATGTATTAGAACGAAATCTAAAATGAAAATTGTAAATAAGCAATCTGTATGTCAAATATGTCTTATATGTCTTAAATGACATGATGAATTGGAAATGGGGGACCCTGATGTAAACAAGACGAAAGTCTTTCTCTGGTCTGCATCCCCTTAACAATTGTATGTTTTGAGCTGTACTGTACTGTACCCAATATACAAGCTGTTAATAAACTTTTCAATCAATCAATCAATCACGTCTGTGTGTAAAGCAGCCACTGCTGGCATTATTCATACTACGCAGGATCCTATCTCTGGAACCCATTGGTCGATTTGGGTGATTGACAGCCTAAGCCCCCGACTGCAAAACTTTATACCTACGATGCGGCCATGAATGTAATGATGGATTATCAGGAACAATTCTAAAGTGACTAAAAGACATTGGATTAACCTTGACCAGCGTTTTTATTCCCTTGAACACGACTTTTGATCACAAAACAGCAACGGTAAGACATAATTATTGTTATGCTTTAGAACACTGTTGTTGTTTTCTTGCTCTGTTCTGGCTGATATCTCAGTGAGTTTGTGTCCTACAGTGATGATACTTATATAAAAATAATCTGTGGAGTATCAGCTTTCAGCTGATGTGTAGTTTGTGCAGAACATATTAAGTTTTAAAGATCGTTTTTGCTAGTTAGCACCGGAAGTAGCATCAGCCTGTTTTCACTAAGGGCTAATGCTAACGCTTCTTGTGAGACTTGTGTTTTGTTTCGGTAAAAATGGCTCATATCATTAGGTTGCTGAGTTTTTTACCGTTATTTGAGTATAAGACATTCATAGGTTTTTAAATATTAAGAAGCCCCCAGACGCTGTCTCCTGCAGTGACGTGTTTTTCCGCCCGGTATCGGGGGGGCCGGGTTTAAGAGGTTAAGGATTTAAAAACAGAAGTCATTTCATATTTCCATCTTAAAGCCCTCCTATGGTAATAACTATGCTACAATGGTGAAATCAATACTTTAGATTGGAATACTATATTTGGCTTGGCACTAGCTCTCCCTTTAAATACCATACAATACAGATTTGTCTTATAGAGTGGTTCCTAAAACTATCCCTTTAATGGTGATCAATATTGTAACAAATTAGATCACTACTTTAGTCACACATGATTAAAAATCTCTTAAAGAATAATTTGTTAACATGATGTAAAGATTGAAGAATATGGTTCTACTCTGTCATGTCTCCCCCTTTATCCCTCAGTGTGTTTTAGGATGATTCTCATTTTTACTTTAATAGTTTCCTCTTTACTGCTATTTTTAATTTACCAATTGATTAATTCATGGGTAATACAACTTTTTATCTTCACTTATTTATCAAGTCAATTCAATTTCTTTAAATGTGGTTCTTTTTATTTGAATAAGTATGTTTATGTGCAAACTCACTCCTTCCGATTGATTCCCTTCCCCTCTCCTCTGGTTTATCTCAAGCCGTGACCCCGGCCTCCTCACATTCTGCTCGACCAACTCCTCTGACTCCTCCCCCTTTGTCCATCAGCTCTTGAATCCATTCGCTGTAACTCTTTGAGGCAGCCATCTGCCCAGTTACATCTGCAGCCCCCATCATGCCACTGTTCTTGTACTACTTTGCATTTCATCTCCTCCTTTACAGTCTCTTTGTTGCTTTATGGAGCTTTGGTTCTGGCTGCCACAGGTGGAGATTGTTCTGGATGCAGTTCTTGTTGTTGTTGTTGGTTCAGCTCTGGTTCTCTGTCTGGTCTATTGAGAAGGAGCAGTCTCCTGCTTGGGATAGGTCTTTGTTTGCTCAGGCGGAT